TGAGTGTCGTGAAGATCCATCTTCCCCATGAAGTTCAGCAAAAGAAGACGCCACACCTCCCAACGTCTCCATCGAGGGATCGGCGGTGCTTGATGAGTGTAAATGTTTGGTGAACGCCTGCCTTCTGCTCACGGACATCATCCATGCAATGAACTTAAGTAACACATCAAAGTTTAAATACGCTTCTGTCGTTTGCAAAAATCTTTCTTGAACTTAATTTCCTCAAGATTTCTCTTGAAAGTCCACATTTTTGCATAAGCAGTGGTGGAATTTTGAGGTACTTGAGCATTTTATTTTCGTTGCACTTTATACTCGACTACAAATTAAAGGGAAATATTGTACTTTGTGCTTCAATATCTTATATAGAGTTTATAAAGTCTAAGGTTCTGTTTTTTAATTTTCAAAAAAATGTAAATATTATTAGAAATCCTTGAGCTATTACATTTTTGTTTGTTAATATTGGATTTTTTACTACAGGGTACTTTTTACATGTAATATTCAAACAGCATTTAGCTAATTATACTTTTACTTAAGTAACATTTTCATTACCAGACTTTCACTTGTAGTAGAGTATTCTTACAGTGTGGTATGAATATCACACTGTTATATATCAAGTATATATCAATGTGTTTCTGTGCCTGCTTTGTTTAATTTAACTGATATATGTGCAGTATTTCTTAAAATAATTGTAAACTGTAGATTCATCATGGCTTGTATCAGACAACAAAACAAAAATAAATGTGTTTAAAAGTGTCTACTGTTTCATCTTTTGTAGTAGCCTTAGTGTAAAACAGTTTTATTGAATAAGAATTGCATTTGATGATACTTAATAATTATATTTAAATATTACCTACATATTTATTAAATCAAAGATAAGAATAGTAAGTAAAAACAACCTGAAAAGCCAAATATCTTTTACTGGAGATTTGTAATAAGATGCAAATGTAATCTTACGTAAAATCTACTATACAACAGTAAGTAAAATGTACTTACAAAAACTGAGTGTGACAGTACAAAAAAAATGAAGTGCCTTTATTAAGAAACACTTCTTAACTGTAAGTAGAAGCTGAGTCAATAACACCATACGGTGCATTTGAGGCTTCCCCATTTCCAAAAAATAAATCTGAGATTTTCCATTAAATTTCATATTCATTGTATTAAGTATACGTTATGCTGTTAGACATGGATGTTGGTCAAGCTCCCACACTTACATTAACTGCAAGTACATGAAAACAGCAAAATGTATCCACCCTGTCATGGACAAAATTCAAAGATTTAATACATTGTAATTACATAGTGATTATAAAATGTACATTTTCAGAAAGCTATAGTCCCTTTCTCAACAATATATTTCAGTTAATGGAACAAGTATTTGGATAATAATGAAATGATGGCAAACTATTTGTACCATGTCCACCCTGTCATGGAAGGCTTGCTGACAGGGTGGAAAATGGTACAAATAGTTTGCCTTAATTTCATTTGTATCCAAATACTTTTTATATTATTTATGGAAGGCTTGCTGACAGGGTGGATAATGACAGGGTGGAAATGTGTGGCTAATATTAGCATTTAATGAGCACATGGTGGACCTTCAGTTAGCAACATGATTCAATTAGCAAGGTGACTGTGTACTGTTTAACAAATATATTTCAAATTTCTGAAAGGTTTTTATATTAATTGACATTTCACTATGACAGAGTGGACATGTTAAGCTTGACAACATCCAACTACACACAATATGATTAAAATGTCGAAATATAAGTTAAAAAACGTACTTTGCAACTAGCCAATGTCTCAGCCTCCATTGAGGAAAGACAACATGGTGGTAGTGATGTCACTGAAAACATCAGAGGGTTTTTTATGGGGCAGTTACCCCTTAATGACAGGGTGGAGAGCAAATGTCAGGGACACATGCAAAATGTTCAATATTATTATGAAAATAGAATATATATGATCAAAATGACACGTTTTATCAAATAACTCGTTGTGGACAATAAAACCATATAATTATTTTTTTAATGTAGTATGATTTAACCACTTATTACACACACTAGTTAGCAGAGCAGTGTGTGGGACATGCCAAAATCACGTACATCCAATGAAAAAATAAGGTATAAAATGAAGGAAACACATTTCAAGAGACTTATCATTGTGCTGATATGTGTGTAAATGTTTGGTCTTTTATCATAAGACCTTAGAGTTTCATTATTCTGCTACATTTTCATGATAACTGAGTGATTCTGATGGGGACACCAAAGTTACTTTATAGTGATATTGACGCAGCTACTTGAAATATACGTTGTTAAATTTACTTAGGGAGGCGTGTGGCGCAGTGGGTTAGTGCCACTGCAGTCAGCATGTCGTTGTGTCGCTGGGCAAGACACTTCACCCCAAATTGCTCCTGTGGGGATTGCCCACAGTATTGAGTATGTAAGTCGCTAAAAGCGTCTAACAAGTAACAAGTAACATGTAACTTAGGTTTTCTGAGTGCAATTTGTTACCTCGATTTTCCTAAGTAAATCTTACTCCCTGTTTTTTTCAGTGTAGAGTGTTTTAGCTCCATCTTCCAACGGGATATTCAAATGTTGTTTTAATGATTCAGACTACACTCACACCACTCACTCCCAGCACATTACCTGTAGACTCCACTGCTCTACAGACATTTTTACATTAGAAATCAGGCTGAGGCTAGTTTGGTATTTGACCTAGATTAGTGCAGCTTAACCTTAAGTTACCCCTGTTGACATTTGAGTCCTCCTTTGATTCTCTACATGTAGATAAAGAGTTTTGATGACTCATTCAAACACCTGCTCACTGCCTCTTTAATGAATGTATGGGAAGATCAAAAATAATGATTTGTTGGTCCTTTGCTTTATTTTAGTGTTCAGGCTCACATTCATTCTAAATCTTAACCAAAATGGATTCTACCTTTGTTCTAGTTCAAGACAAATCCAATAAAGAAAATAATTAAATCATTCCTCTTACAACCAGTGAGCAGCTCATCAATGTGCATTAAATGTGACTGGAAAAGGAGAAAGCTATCACTGTTTCTGAAAGCCTTATTCATAAGCCAATGACTCTTTTTGACAGGCAGGCTGTGTTATTCCCTTGAGTATTCACCTCACAGTGAAACTGAAGTCAGTCAGCCACGAGGCAAAGAAAAGAGACAATCTGGATGAGAATAGTAAGAACTACCTTAGACTGCTACTGTCTGGATACGCTCTTAACAATTTGGAGACTTGCAGTATGAGTGCAACAGTCCCTGAATTACCTTCCTGACATGAAGCAGGCAGTGAATGCCATTGTTAAGGTGCTACTTTGTTAGCTTGTCCGTCTGTATTAGAGATAAACGTTTAAGAAGCACATAACGCAACTGTCGAACTGGAAAAACTCAAACCTTAAAGGTCCCATGTCTTGGCCATTTCTACTGATCATAATTCCATTGTTGAGGTCTACTAGAATAGATTTACATTGTTCAATGTTCCAAAATCACATTGGTTTCTCATACAGCATCTCTGTATAGTATGTGTATTCACTCTCTGTCCTACACGCCTTGTTGGAGCTCCTGCCCCCCCCCCTCCCTATGAGCCCACTGTGCTCTGATTGGTCAGCTCGCCCACTCTGTTCTGATGAGTCCACCACCGTTACAGCGGAACATCAGTGTTTATGTTTTACAATGGCGTTTGTTAGCAACCAGAAAATGACACCAGTAATGACAAACAGATGAGAATGCTGCGTGGGGTCTGGGTGCCGTGTTGGCGGGACGTTGCGGGGCTCGCTGCTCCACCCTTTGAGGCTCGAGGAGCGGACAGTGTGAGCTGGATTACTGGTGTCGTTTCCTGGTTGCTGCGTGGGGTCTGAGCTCAGGCTGAGTGAGTTTGTGTGTGTGCGGAGCACCACGGAGCTCAGGCTGAGTGAGTGAGTGAGTGAGTGTGTGTGCGGAGCTCCGCAGAGCTCAGGCTGAGTGAGTGTGTGTGTGGATTGGTCCATTTGGACTTAGTGACGTCAACCTGCCCCGGAAGAAAAAAATGGAAAAAGAAAAATCTCCAACGAGGCGTTCTGGGGCAGCATAGACACGTCTTTTCTGTGTTAGAGTTTTACTCGCTACAGGGTGTACTTTGAGGGTTTGTGACTTTGCAGACCGTTTACATGCAGAAAAAAGCTACGTAACACACAAGGGGACAGGTAATAACCAGAAAAGCATATGATGGGACCTTTAATACCGTATTTTTGAAGAATTCTTACCAGGACTACCGCCAGCTCTATTCAGAAATCTCATATCATGAAAAGAGTGCAACTTAATGGCATTCAAGCAATCGTCAGTATCACACATGCTAGCACGGTAGCTTGTTAGTGGTTGTGCTAGCTGTGTTCCTTGGACTGAATTTGTTCATAACCGCAAAAAAATTGTCCAACATAGGAAAAAGCTTACTTGGTCAAAACTGATGAAAGTGATTTGATATCAGCTTTTCTTGTTGTTTACTTTTGTTCATATTTTACACATTGTTACATATATCTTATTGCAATACTGTTGTGTCCCCTAAAACTAATAATTGTGATTGTTTACTGGATATCTCAAGAAAAAAGACTGGAGACAGGCACTTACGTTTCCGTGTGTTTAATTGCAAAAACACCACAGTCATCCAAAACAGTCCCTTTACACAGTCACATATCTGTAGCATAACCTTACACCATTCCCTTACTGACTTTGATCTATTCTTTGCACAGTATGTCTCCTAATTTATACATATAGGTTTTATAATGACACTTCTTTGCTCTCTAAATCTGGGTTTTTTCCAGTTATTGGAAACGCAGCAGTGGTTTCTAAGTACACAATGCTGTAGGGGCTGCATGAGTGGACACCTCATGCAGACCCAGATACACATGGTTACTCAACACCACTAAATACAAGATATAAGACATACATTAATATACTATAATGCCTACCTGATTGCCCTAATGTAATCATGGGTTCATATTCTCTCTATGTCTCATTACAGGAAAGCGGCTCCATCTATCTCCAGTTCACCTGCTCCACCGCCCTTCAGCTGGAGGTCATATTCGAGGTGCTTGAAGAGTACGACTGGACCTCCTTCTCTGTGGTGACCACCCGTCACCATGGCTACGAGGACTTCCTGGCCATGGTGGAGGGTATGACAGACGGTTCATTCATTGGCTGGGAAAAGAAGAGTGTGGTTATTCTTAACGTGACGGACGACCCTGGCGGAGCCCGAATTAAAAGACTGCTCAAAGACAACGAAGCCCAGGTGAGTCAAATGTCATTGCTGGACACAAGTATCAAAAGGGGAATCATGTAATTACATTTTTCTAAAAGCTGCAATATTCAATTTTAAACCTGAGAAAACCACAATGCCTTTCCCTTATCTTGATAAGCTGTCTACCTTGAAATGACTTTCTCTGTAGCCGGAGGCTAAGTCACATCTGTGAAGGTTCCACAAGCATACAGAAGCAGATGGTGAACGCAGTCAATTTGTAGTTTAAAAAATACCTTGTTCTCCATTATCACTGTCACCTACTGATTTCAGCTGCTAAGTTCACCTTGAAAGTCACAACTTGTTTAATGTGTTTCCATAAAAGAGGATGTGATACACAATCTAAAGTTGAAAGTTTCCTAACATTGTTCAAAGTACATTTTGTGGATATGTGTTCTACTCACTGTTTCTTACAGCACAAAATGTCATTGTTCAAACATTATTCGATGCCAAATTATGAATATAGGTTTTTTGAACTCGTTAAAAAAAACAGTAAAGTACTCTTTTGCGTTTCCTGCTGTGTGCTGTAACAGAGAAATACATAATACAATTTCAGTTGGACTCCCAAATCTCATTGCCAGGTTAATCAACTTTGTTGTATTGATATAGTTGCAGTGCTGCACTTGCAGCTGAAAAATAATAGGTTACTTCTTCAGGCATTGCAGCCAGAGGAAAGGTTCTGAAGAAAGCAATAACATCTCACCATTCAAAATTGGCTTACAGTAAAAGCCTTATTTAGGGGAGGTTGACGGAGGACACGGTATTAATTTACGCTGGCATCCTGGGGGACCACTTACACACCCACACACACTACCGCACACACCTGGGAGCTTTGTACTGTGGCAGCACAGGCACGCGGCATATTGTTTACAAACTGATGCATGATGTTGTATTTTAAAGAATTATAGGCCTCTGTCATACAGTTACACACTGTTTTTTTACACAGTGATGGCATATTGATGATAACATGTTTTTAAGACGTCTCCAAAATCACTGTATGGCAACAAATATTTCCATATGTTTAGTCTGGTTATTTGAAATGAATATTTGATGTATGATCTTTTAATTTTATTCAGTGATGCTTTCTAGCATAATATATACATATCCTATGTATTCAAACGTTTTGTATCATTACATTGTTAAGCTTGATTTCTGGCAACCCAGGTTATTTATAGATTTAAATATAATTTTAACTAACCATTTCTGGCTAAGATAAATGACATAATACACTTGCAATTACATATTAACTTGACAAGGTATGGCAAGAAACAAAAGCAACACAACAGAACCACGCTCAGGTGTTCCCAGTCGCTCTGATGATCACCTGCAGAGTGCACACACAGGTGAATCACATCACACAAGATGACACTGCTAGGATCCTCAGATTTTTTCTTTGGGCATGATTGCTGTGAAACATAAAAGCTGCAGACAAACAACCTGCTTCAGAAGAAATGAACATTATCAGCAGATTGGACATCATCAGAGGTGATAGGTACGAAAGAGTTTCTGGGTTTCGCAGGATCTTTGTGCAAGAGCAATATGTCCTTTCTCTCAGTCTTACAAATCTCTCCTGCCCACCGTATCCTTGTTATTCATTTTCATTCCTTGCTCTGATCATTTTCACTATTGTAAATGTAAATGACCTTTGTCACAATGAAGTCCATGAAAGGGAGAAAGGAAGAAAGAAAAGGAGAATGGACCAAAAGAAAAAGGGCTGGATTGAACATGACGTAACGTAATAAAAGTGATATGAAATGTTGAATCGGGAGGGAGTAAATTAAATATGTGCTGGGCTTTAGATGTGGAGAAATGTACATTTAGATGTCTTTTTTCATGAAGATGTTATAGCGGATGGGGTTATGCATTTGTTTGCCATGACGGCTGCATTGCATTGCATTTTAGTGGGACAGAGGGCTTTGTCATAGTGCTTTCTCATTTATTGACATGACTTACTGTGATACTGAATGAAACCATCACCTGTACTTTAGTAGAAATAAGCAAATCTTGGCATGATAACGCACAGGTTGTGATCGTGGTGGAAATCACTTCTTCTTAAAATTAGCATATTAGCATTGATATTGTGAGTATGCTAGTGTAATGTTGTGGTTAGCATGCTCAAGTTAGCATTTTGCTCAATAGTCCATGGCTGCAGACTCCGAGGGGCCAATAAGTGTGCGCCGAAACTTGCACACAAATGTAGCTTTTCTTTGCAAATGGACCAGATTGCAGTCCATTTCCCAAAGAGCAGCGCTAACTGCCACCAGCAGTTACAGTAAAATGAGAAAGGAGAGTTGGTGGCATCTATAAAAGGTGTCCACTCAAATTAATTTATTTTTGGATGCAGTGACAGGATGCAATGACAGTTGTGTCATGAAAAATAGATGAATAAAGCTCCCCTACTTGTCACTTTTCAAAGTGCATTAAGAAAAAAATGAGGAAAGAATTGATGAAAAATATGGTTATGATAGAACAAACTAAATACATACTCACTCTCGCTCTTTTCCAAAAGCTCTTGGCTTATGTTATCCTTTTCCAATCTCCTTTTTTTCCAATTGCCCATGGCAGGTTTGGATGGAGGTGGCACTAGCTAGCACCCCCTGACAAAACCTCCAGCTTCAGCTGACTCACTCTTAGCAACTGACAAATTGGCTGTAAGCACATACTCTGCCACATGGATAATTGCAATCAGATGCAAAAAACAAAAAAGGTAGATTGCATTCAGTTGCGAGACTTTATGGCGAAAAGATTAATAATTAATGTTTTAATGGCAAGTAAAGAAGGACTACAAATCTTTCTTTAAACCTGATATTTCTGCCTCTGGATTTAAAAGTTGTTTTAAATTTCAAGCATGCTGTGGCCTTACAAATTTCATATTTTTAAACACATTGATTGTTCATAAAAGTCCAACATGAACGAGAAATGTCAGGTGGTTCTCCAAACTACCTTAACATGCTGGTGTGCTTGCTGAACTATAATTAAATGTCCACCTCTAAAAAGGTCCACTTCCACAGCAACAACCGTAAATAATGGACAGTCACGCACAGGGAAAGTTTCTGGCAATTCTCGAGGGACGTGTTTTTTATTTATTTATCTTTGTCACTGGAACGTTGCCATCTGGGTATTGTGTTCTTCAAATGGAGGGTCAGCATCATCCATCTAAATTTGGTATTTTTAACAAACGATATAGGAGCAAATGTCCTTGTAAAAAATATTGTATTGCATCTGTGTTGGCCTTCCTGCCTTAAGCAGCAGTGTGCTTTGGGAGTACCCTTACTAAGTGTATGGATATGTCTCATTTGCTTTATTTTCTCCTCCTCACTCGATTATTGGGTGGCCTAGAAATTGATCTGAACGGCTACTGTACCATAAAGTACAGTTTAAAGTCGGAAGCAGTGATCAATGAAGTAGGAAGCCTGAGTGATGACATTTTAGAGCATCGTATGCATAAGTCGGTTATTGGATCAACAAAACCCTTTATTGTGGGCAATTGGACAAAACGGCTGATCGGAGTACATTAAATCTGCATCAAACCAGCACTGCCGTTTTAAACCTGTTTGGACAGTCAAATATTGTTCCTTTTTTATAGGTTAAGACATCCTCATTATACAGTGGCGAGCCGTGACTTTTGGGGCCCTCTGACCCCCACCCCTTAAATCCATAAAAAATAGTTATTACGTCACAGCGTATACTTCAGCGGAATATCAAAACAACGGCCCGGGGTGCAAAACGCAGCAATGAAAGCGACCCTCTACCACACAAAACAACACCTGTAAATAACCCAATTTGTGTTCTTTGAAATTGAAAAGGATATTGCATTGTGTTTGTTACTTGCGTTGCAGTTGTATGTCTTAAGTGTAATTTGGCATGCTTTTATTTTGAAGGCGAGTTTATGCTGTTGACAGGAAGTTGTTGTTGCTATGGAAACAAGAAAAGCTTCACAGCGGGCGGAACTTGTCATAAAGTCCGCGATAATAAAACCCACCCATTTAGAGGGAATATATGATTGGTCAATTGTACTGTCATTTGACATTACTCTCTCGTTCACGGGCCCTCTGTGAATTTACAGCAGGACCACCAATCAGCTCCTGTCTTCACCTCGCAGAGACGCGCTTCTTTCATTTAACCCTTCACATTCAAACAGAAACTGAATAGGCAGATTCGAAGGATTTATTTATTTGGAAATGTTATTTTAAATACAATTAAATCAAGTTGTTTTGGTAAAACTAATGAAAAATATAACTAAGAAAATATTTTTAAAAAATATATATTTTAAAATATGATTTTGTAGTCAGAGAGGGCCGAGAGGGCCCTGACGGCTCGCCACTGTCATTATACTGTGATAAATACGTAACTTATATAAATAACATAAAGTAAACTTTGCCTGTACACACAGGGCCTTTCTCATTTCACTAATTCCCCTCCTCGACTCCCCTCCTGGACTCCTATCCTCGTGTCTTAGTCCTGTCCACAGGAGATGCGAGCGGAGGAGTCGAGGAAGGGAACCGAGGAGAGAGGAGTGGAAGCATTAGGCGGTCAGAGAAATGAGAAATCCTCTCCTCTGAGCGGTCATTTTAAAGAGACGTCCATTAATGATGACAGGAGGCACAGCAGCCCTCTGTCTGATGGACAGAACTGTGTTCATGATGACTTATATATTTACTTTTAATTCATTGACAGTGTGGTATAATGAGACAATAACAGGCTACAGATGCGGACATATATACACACACACACATATATATTTATATATATATTTATATAAATATATACAATTTCAGATTCAAACAAGTATGAGAGCACTCTCATAATAACAGAGACTGTATATACCCCCCCGTCTCTGGTCGCTACAATGGGGAATTGAAATTACGGGCCAAACGTTTTATTTACAAGTATTAAAAGTAAGCTTAGGACACCAAACCAACTGAGACCTGTCTGTCCGCCGCATCTACGCACACACACCACACACACACACACACACACACACACACACACAC